TGTAATGGAATGTTAGTCATCAAAAAGAATGAAATCTTGTCACTTGCAATGATGTGGATGGAGCTAGAATGTATTATGCTAAGTGAAATAAGTCAGTCAAAAAAAGACAAATACCATATGATTTCACTCATATGTGGAATTTAAGAAACAAAACAGATGGATATATGGGAAGGAGGGAATAAAAGAGACGACAGGGAAACAAACCACAAAAGACTCTTAATGATAGAGAACAAACTATGGGTTGCCAGAGTGAGGTGGGTGGGAGGTGGGCTAGATGAGTGGTGAGTACTAAAGAGGGCACTTGTGATGAGCACTGGGTGTTGTATGTAAGTGGTGAATCACTGAATTCTACTCCTGAAAAACAAAAACAAACAACAAACAAACAAACAACAAACAAACAAAGAAGGCTGATGAATGAGTTTCCTAAAAATAAAAAAATTAAAACTTAAAAAAGGTACAAATATTTTCAATATGAATAAAATGAAGCAATAAAAATAAACTTTTTTGCTTGCAAATTCAAAAAAAATAAATTAAATTAAGTTAAAGATGTATTTCATACTATTAAAGACCTATATAACCAAATCTTCCCTTGGTGGTAAGTCTATTTTTTTTCTGTATTGAAAAGTGAAGAAAATAGAGACCCAAAGATGCTGAAAATAAAAATCACTTTTTAGTCACAATTTATTTATTCTCTGCCATTGCCTCTTAAAGTTTTAAACTCAGGACTTATTTCCCATATAAAGCACCTATCATACCTGGGGCCTACTAGATGTCCCATAAATGTTTATTTCTGTCCCCTCTCTACTTTGTACAGTTCTGTTTGGTATGACTGAAATAGTAAAACTTCAACCACTTCAAGGCTACTGCATTAAACTAGAGACATTTTCAATACTGACATCTGTCTGGTAGTAACATAAGTTGACTTTCTGGTGGTTGTTTCCCTAACACTGGCAGTTTTCAGTGTTTCTAAATATAGACGATCCTCTAACAAGAATATTCTAAATATTTCTACTTTGGGTAGAAGGTTTGATTTAATAATATAAAATAGTTGACATTTATCAAGCATTTATCATATGCTAAAAACTGTACTGAAAATACTAGATGGATCCTCTCATTTAATCTCCCCCAACAAAAGCCTATCTTGCCGATGAGAACACTGAGCCTCAGAAAGGCTGAGTAATGTGTCAAAGTCACACAGCTAGAAAGTAGCAGACACAAAACTTAAAATGTATCATCTGCTTTTAACCATTAGGCTATCCTTGCTTATTTAGCTAATCACTAAAGTTGCTTCCAATTCTCTGTTCTTAAAATTAAATAAACTTGATCAAAGGGGTAAAATACCAAAGCAGTGAAAAATAAGAAGCAATCCATTCAATTGGATGGCACAGACCATAAGTTCAATCAGTATAAACTGCAACAACTCTGAAAAGTCTCTTTCTCTTCCGGACCTCAGATAGATGTTTCCCTTTCAAACCTCTCCAACTGCAGATTCTCTTTATTCTGGTGGACAGTGGTGTGAAGGCCAATGGGAAGGTGATCTCATTTTTCAAACTAAAGGAGTCTCAACTGCCCGCTTTGGCAATTTACCGGACTCTAGATGAGGAGTGGGATACACTACCCAGAGCGGAAGTTTCAGTGGAGAATGTGCAGAACTTTTGTGATGGATTCCTGGGAGGGAAACGGCTGGTAAGTGGGAGACTTCAGGAAGAGCAAGTTGAGTGTTACTCTCTGTGTCTTCTCATTTCCTGTTGAATAAAAATTCTTTAAGCTCTACTGGATTTGACTAAGAGCAAAAGTACATGAGGATATGGTGGACAGGATCAGGAGGCTTGTTAGGATAGAATCGTGAGAATAGAACTACACGTGCATCTTTGGAAGATGTCTTGCACATGCAAAGGAGCTGAATTTGGGGTTTTACCATTCTGTTTGCATTATTAATGGGAAATAAATAAGATTCCCATATATAAGAGTTCGTGAAATAAAAATTAAAGATGGATTTAGGTCTTCCAGGAGTAATTACATAACGCATTTTGCTAATCTCTCAAAACCAAGAGCCCCAAATCTAAATAATAGTGTTGTGATGTTTTTCAGAGAGAAAATCATGAATCAGAAGAAAAGACTCCAAAGGTGGAACTCTGAGCTCTCCCTGATACTCCCGCATACTACTAAGAATTTACACGATATAACAAAAGGGCAACTCAAACTTCAGAGATGCTAACCAACAGGATGAACAGGCCTTAAACACACACACACACACACACACACACACACACACCTCCATTTTGTTCCTTAAAATCTCATTTACTCTCCTTATCCTTTCTTTTAAATTGTCTACACTCTCTCACTACCCATCCGATCTTCTTCTACGCATTCATACTGTGTAGTCCCATACACGGCAACACACATCACTGAATGGAGCCTTTAAGAGAAATATTGTGATATTTCTTTGAAGGAGAGGCATTCCTGGAGGGAGGATATTCTGATTTGTCATTTAATATTGAATCTTTACACTGCACAGGACGTACATGCAACATAGTTTCTGCTCTTTAGTGGTTGTTTCAGGGTTGAAACTCTACCTTCCTCATGAGCACATGTCCCTCTCTAACTCCCAGCCGAGAACAAAAGGAAGGTTTAAACACCTTTGCAGAACTGCGTTTTTGCCGGGGTCAACCAGTGTTTCCAAGTCTCTAAACTCAGCAGAAACAGACTATGTAAAAACTCTATGCTTGTGTAGCGTTCCTAACTCCCCATGTAAATCAACAACCGCATAATAAATAAAAAGCAATAATGTTATAGGAAAAGACTGGCATCTCTTTGCAGGCCAAACCTTTTGTAAATACCCAGATGCCCAATTAAGCAGTAGGCACCTCACCCTTCGGTGTCCACTGTTTAGCGTCCGGCCATGAGCCACTAATGTGTTATTGTTAACTTGGTGGGTGGGATGGAGAGTGGGTAGAGACCATCCTCCATGAGGATTGGTATAAATGTGGCAAAAGAGCTAGGAGTCGAATTATGTAAAAGGTTGGGGAATAGGTAAGGAGGGGGATACTTGGCTCTGGCGGGGGGGGGGGGGGGGGGTGTTGGGGCTGACTAGGAGCGGATTATTGCAGGTAAGGTGTTCAATCCAGCCCATGTGAAACAGAGGGAGAGTTTGGCTGAGTGTCTCTGGCCTACAGGCTGTTTCTGTCAACACACAGATGCTACATTGTTCCCAGGAGGCCCTTGGCTCAGAAGGAAAGGGCCTAAGTGCCGAAGAGTTGAAAAACCACAGTGTGCACCTTAAGGATTGGTCCAAGTACGGAACAGGGAGTGAAAGACTTAGTTGTTTCTTTCTGTGGGGAAAACTCCACAGCCTCTGAGCTGGGAGTGGACAGCTGGCAAGGACGCTGTGAAAGCAGCAGTGTATGGCATGCTCCCTCAGCAACATGAGACTGAAGGATTGTGAGGAGGCCGTCCAGTTCAACCACGGGGAAGAAACCACCCCGTCTTCTCTCTCGAGGCTAAAATATATTCCTAGGGTAGGCACATCCCAGAAGCCTCTCTTTGATCCTGTAAACCAGAGCTCTTGACGTCTACAGTCAGGAAATTCTTCCTGATATTCAGCTGAAATCCTCTGGCCACACGAACCCGTTTCTTCTTACCTGCAGTCCATGGAAATTCTTAAGAGCTGCCGATCACCATCTCCAAGTGGCACCCCCAATTCTTACTGGGTGTTCTTAACCTCCTTATCCAGTCTTGTTTTCTCCCTACCTACAATCCAACTCTTCAGCTAATTTGCTTTATTTCCAAGTCACTTAATTGGCTTTATTATTTTTCCCTCTTCCCTCTTTCTCACATTTCCTTCTTTTTTTGCTTAAAAAATAGCAGATTCCAAACCACTGTGAGAATTTGGTGAATGTCAAAAGATAAATTCCCATGAATTCACCCAATATTCCACATTGGTCAACACTGACCGCATCTTTATAGTGCATTTTGCTGCTTGATGACATGCGACAGAAATTTTATTATATATTGTCTTTTAATGCTTATCTTTTATCTTTATTGTATTGAATTGTTCCTTCAGTTTATGGTTTTCCAGAACTGGGAGAGATTTTTGCCTGTCTGTTTCACAGCCAATCTGGTTTTTGTAGCTGTGGCAACTCATGACCAAAGAAGGGAACTCTTTCAGAAAGAAGAAATTTTTAAAATTTCTCATTCATTCATTAAATATCAGACTTAGTATTATAAAGTTCTACAGTTTCTAGATCTTCTCTGTCTTTGGATAATATCTTCCTAAGACTCTGCATTCTTTCCCCAAGGTCATGTTATTGTTGAAACATCTAGATATATGTTAGCTACTTTTCATGATGGACTCATTCTTTAGCCCTCGCTGGCAAGAAATTGCCATACTTTCGTTTAAAGTTTGAAGGAAGTGGTGATGTCATACAATAGAACTTTGTAAAAGGATACTAGAAGATAGAAGACTTTGATAGAAGAAGTAGAGAAACAGGGCATGACTGAAGGAATGCCAGGAAAATTGGTGTGTGAGTCTCATGTCTTCTGCGTATGGGACTCTGTGACCTTGGAAAACCCTATCTTTAAATTTCAGTTCATTGAGGGCAATACAATAATTCACAGGATTTTTTGAGACCCCAAGCTGATAATAAATATGAGGTAAAGTGTGTCATTGCTTTTGCTTTTTAACAGAATACTATGCTGCCTTCTCTGGATAACAGCTATTTCTCCAATCGTCTGAACTTTTAAAAAAGGAGAGACTTCCTTCGGAGTCTTAAAAGAATTAGCACGGGAGGCCTCACACTTGAGATTAGAGAAGTATTTGAAATAACTATTTTAAAATATAGATTCGGGGAGCACCTGGGTGGCTCAGTCAGTTAAGCATCCGACTCTTAGTTCCAGCTCAGGTCATGATCTCACGGTTCCTTGAGTTCGAACCCCACATCGGGTTCTGTACTGACAGTGTGGAGCCTGCTTGGGATTCTTTCTCCCTCCCTCTCTGTCTCAAAAAAATAAATAAATAAAATTAAATAAATAAATAAATAAATAATCAAATGTAGGTTTTATTGTTGCTCAGGCATGGTGAAGCCAACAGACCAGGAGGCAATTGACATTGAAAAGATAGTTTGTTATGGTTTCCAAGAGGGGGGAACATGCCATACTATGGGGAAGGACCAGGGTTGGTCAGGAGGCAGAGGGACCAAGGGGAAAATATAAGCAATAGCCTTTATTGTGCTTTGTGTGGGAAGGAACAGTCAAGGCCAGGTAAGCAGGCTTAAGATTGGCTGCTTTGAATAATGTCATCTGTCCCTAGCTGTCCGGAACCTGGTCCTGAGGTGATGAGAGCAGGTGAATAGTGGATCAGAGTGTGAAAGCCCAGTGAGAGCTCAGTTAAAGCAGGTTTGGGAGGGTATGGTCTCTGGCTTGGCTGGTTTGCATATGAAAGACAGCCCTGGGTGAGTTGTTCACCATCTCTGCGAATTAGCTAGCCTTATGAGGAGCAGTCTCTCCAGGGTCAGCAAGGCCCCAGACGTCACATCAAAACATCAGAGGCACATGGTTAACACAATACTCTCACATTCATCTGTCATAGGACTCCTCTCCCAACTCACCTAGTTTGGTCATGTTGTTTTCTTTCAGGCCCCTGTTTATACATGTTTACCTTGAGTGGATGGGGGCAGGGTGGGTGCTAAGTGGTGTATTGTGAGGGAGCAGTTTATTGATTCATAGTCTCATCCAGCTATTTAAATACTTACTAACCAAGTATAAGTGTGCCAAGCAAAATTGCTTCCTAAGAGAGAAAAGTTAGCTGTACAATAGGGACGTTTCAGTTATAGTAACAACAGGTAGCAGGGAGGCCATCAGACTGACTGTAGGTCATGGCCAGGAGAGGGAGGAGAAGGAGAAGGACAGGAGACTGGCAATAAACCAAGAAGTCTCAATGTTAAGGGAAGAGTAGCCACAAAGAAAAATAGTCTGCCGCAAAAGGGAAGAGGCTCATCATGGACAAACTATTTCACAATGCGTTTGGAACCAGCCCTATTTATTTATTTTACCTTTCTGAAAGTATCTGGTTTTCTAAGCAAAGAAAAATAAAACAGGGAGTGGGATGTATCTGACCCATGCTCCTAATTACAGTACTTTTACATTTCTAGAGCCTAGAAAAAGGAAGAACTTATTAAAAACCTGTTTTGAGTTTTGAACCTTTGGAGAAAAAGTACTCTAGAAATCAAACAAACGAATTTTAAAATTCTACCCCTGTAAATTTGAAGGGGAGTCCCCACCCTTCAAATCATTTCCACGATAGCCCAGTGTCTCCCTCTTTTCTTTCCATTCTGTCATTGTTTCCATGGGCTTGACAGTGAAACCCCTGAGTTACACCAGGAGTGAAGGTAAGGAGGGGACAGTGAAGGGCGAAGGAGTTAAGTTACTTTTATAGGTTATGAAAAGTGTGGAATCCAAACTTGAATGCTTCATTATCCAAACAGTTAGTTACACTAGTCTTTTTTTTAATTGAAGAACAATTGACATAAAATACTGTATTAGTTTTGGGTATATGGCATAATGATTTGATCTTTATATACATTATGGTCACTGCAAGAAGTCTAGTTATCATTTGTCACCATAAAGAGTTATTACAATATTATTAACTGCATTCCCTGTGCTGTACCTTACATCCCATGTCTTACTTATTTTATAACTGAAAGACTGTACCTCGTAATCTCCTTCACCTACCTTGTCTCCCAATCTACTCCATCCTTTATATGTAGATAAGTGAAATTGAATGGTATTTGTTTTTCTGTCTATTTCACTTATGTAATTAATAGTCATTAGGTCCAACCATGGTGTTGTAAATGGCAATATTTCTTTCTTTTTCATGGCTGAGTAATATTCCATTTTATATATATCACATCTTCTTTATGCATTTACCTACCAATGGACACTTGGGTTGCTTCCATATCATGGCTATTGCAAATAATGCTGCAGTGAATATAGGGGTTCATTTGTCTTTTCAAATTAGTGTTTTGGTTTTCTTCGGATTAATACCTAAAAGTGGAATTGCTAGATTGTACGGTAGTTCTATTTTTAATTTTTTGAGGAACCTCCATACTGTTTTCCTTAGTGACCACACCAATTCACATTCC